GCGTAAATTTTTGTGGTTTTTTTTTTCATCTATACGTCTATAATGAACCGTAGTTTGTTTGTTTGTTGCAGCTCGAAGGTCAAATTGTTGCCAAATGGCATCATAATACCATCAGGTACAGAATCACTTTTTTTTGTTCCAAAAAATAGACTTTTGCTATCTGTCTTCTGACAACCGACCAAAAAGGATTAATAAAAGTTCAAAAGTACTTCTTGTCCAATTTTCCCATAGGAAATAATGAAAAGACCACTTTTAAGCTTTTCTTAGAATTGATGCAGTTCAAGTAAAAAAAAAAGTCGTGAAGACATCTTATTTTTCTAGAGAATTAATTGCTCTATCATCCAACATAATTAAAAGAAACTTTTATTTTGTTATTCTAACTGCTGAAAAACTTAATAGAAACATATTGGATTCTTTATCTTAGCTATCATTATGGAAAAAAATCGATATTAAATCTGTATGATAATTTTTACTAATATTTATCATTCTAATTTTTGTATATTTTCATGCGAAAAAAATTAAATGAGTTATTAATCATTCAATAAGATGGTAAGAGAAAAATGTCAGTTGGTCGCAACGACTATTAGTCGCATATTTGATTGAATTGTAATTCAATAAGACACAGTACCACATGAGAATGAGAATGGCGTATGAAAAATGAAGATTTACTCTATGGAATGAATTCTTAAATGATCCCGCTGATAAACAATAATTGAATATTGACATTCACATTTTCAACTTATCGAAATGTTACGAAAAGACAAAATGTATATTCATTATCGAATAGTAAAAATCACAGCAGACAAAAACTCCGAAATAAAGAAAACCTATATATCTCTCTATAATATTTTTTTTTTCAGTACTACATTGTGACTAATTGTCATAGACCTATCAATTAAAAATAAAACAATTAATTTATATGATGATAATATTGAACAATTTGATAATCAAAAAAATAGTTTCATCATGTTATTTTGTAGATAATTATTTTTAATTGAAAAACAAAAAAGAAAAAATATGCCAACTTCAAGAGATGATCTTCCTGATTTTCGTGAAACATTTAGTTTATTTGATGATCGTGGTGATGATAAAATTCCAAAACAACTATTCGGTGAAGTTGTTCGAGCACTTGGATTAAATCCAACTGAAGCACAAATCAAAGGTGCAATACAAAATTTAAAAACTGATCGAATATCATTGGAAGAATTTTTACCTTTATATGATTCATTGGCAAAAAAAAAAGATAATACTATGACAGAAGAAGAACTTATTGAAGGTAATGAATTAAAATAAACTATCGTATAGAAATTAATCATAATTACACTTATTATCTCAGATAGTTTAGGACATGATATTTCGTCTAAAATTACTGTTTATCACATATAAACACCATTTCAAAACAGAAAATAGCAAGAAATTGCTTCCCTCATAAATGACATTGAAATGTTATTATATGTATATAATCATCACATACATGTAATAATGCTTTGAGACCTTTTCCTGAATTAGCTGAGAAGCATAAATACTTGTCACAATTTACTGAAGAAATCTTGCCGTGGAGAGAAAGAAAAAAGAAACTAAAACTCTAATGACATTATCCAACTTTTTGCAAACGAACATTACTATCAGTAGAAATAGCAGAAAAAACGCTTTTGATTAGTGGGTGCGGTTGTAGGCTTCTCCACTCCCTCATACACACATCCGGATTGAAGGGACTGGCAGCTCCGACTCAATGCAACAAATCTTACCAACTCGAGTCCAAACTTATATATAGTGATCAATGAAATAAAGAAAGATTGTGATAATTCAATTGAAGACAAGAAGTTTAGTGATAGGATTCGAATTTGAACTTAATTTAATATGTGTATATATTTAATGCTTTTTTTCGGGTCATTCGAAACAATATTTTATGCAGATTTTCTCTTCCGAGAGGGCACCGTCCCCACATTGGATAAAATACTAATTCCGATACACTTTCAGAAAGTTATTCGATAGCAAATTTTTCATTCTACAAGACAGTTTCGATTGTGTTTCAAATTATTAAAGCAATATTTGAAATATAAATCCTTGCTCAATCGTCTAATTACTATTGAAGATCAATCCACGAAAAATCTTGAAACGAAAATTTACCAATATTTTTGTTTTCTCCAAAGCGAGACTTCGTTTATTAAACAATCATTCTCATGCTGTTGGAGACAGAATTTAATTCCGTTGTGACTACTAAGTCGAAGAATACAAATGATTAGATTCTATTGAAATAAAAAAGAAAAAACAAACGACCATGTAATTCTATCAGACAAGATTTTTTTTCCAAATTTTTACTCGATAATTATTCTTGCAAATATTTCTACTGGATATATCAATATATGCAGAATTTAGTGATATGCTTGCCATTTTAGAACTTGTGAAAAAATAAAGGCAACAGCTTGGTAGAGCAAAAGAGTCTCTATCGAATGACTTTCTGAAAGTGTATCAAAATGCGTAAATTTAATGTGCGCCATCCGTTAAATGAGCTTCAAGTATTCAAACTGATATAAGTATTGACTGACATTATCTGTATTAATTAAATGGTTAACATAAACATAAGAAGTGTGATATCAACTAGCTATTCTGTTAATAGATTTTACATAAATTGATAGTATGATAGAGTTAATTCGTTTCCATGTGAATGTGTACAAAAATATCTTACACAGGATTATTATAAAATTTTTAAATAATGACGAATAATTTTCCAACATTCAATGATGTACAAATTTCTCTTCATTCACTCTATGCGAACTATATGATTCATACTCCACGTGATCAATTAATTTATAACGTAAATAAGCTATCGAAAGGTAACAAAAAACAGAAATATATTAAATATAGAACAAGACTTACGGAATTTCATGAAACATGATTGTGTTTTTTTTTTTTGATAGTTTATTTCGGATTAAGTCAGTTGACATTTATAAAACTTGTCAAAATATGTAATCACGATAACTACAATTTATTTAATACATATAAAATCTGTTACATATTTTATTAAATATATATCAAAACTTTGATGATTAAATTTTATATGTTAATGTTCGTATTTAATTAGAAAAGGTAATATCAATGAATCATATATTATATAAAATTCGCTTGAATATTTCAAGCGTATATTTAGACATAATTGCGTAAATCATTGACATGTAGTCGACCTTTAATCATGCTTCGAAACTTATGAAACATCGTTGATACGTCACGCTCCAAATAAACGAAATAAAAAGAAAATATTGATGTTTATCATTAAATAAAACATCAATATTTATTTCAAAAATCAACCATCTGTTGATGTAATATGTTGTTAATAAATTATCTACACTCAAAAAAAAGCCAATCTATGCTAGAAATCAATTGTTTTTTTCGTCCCGATCTTGTTAACATCTCGGTCTCAACAATTTCTCTTTCTCGTAATCTCTAATTTAGGTTCATGAGACGTTCAACACACAATTATGTAGAATATGATTTTTTTTATAGGTTTAAAAGTATTTGATAAAGAACAGAATGGTAGTATTTCATCAGCTGAACTTCGACATTTATTAACAAATCTTGGTGAACGTTTATCAGATGAAGAAGTTGAACAATTACTATCTGGTTTTGAAGATAAAAATGGTCTTATTAATTATGAAGATTGGATTCGAAAATTACTTCGTAATTAAAACAATCAAACAGAAGAAAAAAAAACATTCCGTTCGCTTCAAATTTTTCTTTCTTTGCTAATGATCAGTGCATATTTTCTTTTGGTTTTTCTTTTTTTTTGAATTGATCTGCTTCACTCATTCCATTTTTTTATTATTACTTTACTAATCTCAATTTTAGATGATATAATTTTATTTTTATATTCAATGAATCTTATCTTGAATAACAATAATAATGAGAGTGGTGGTCCTCTATATCCTATATTACCACTTCCAATATGTGTACGATTTCGGACGGAAAAAATTTTTTCATCAAAGTAAGTTTTTCTTTTTTTTTTTTTTTAATGTATTGTTGTTGTTGTTACACCATTTAATTTTTCCATTTCATCATCATCATCATCGTTATTAATCATGGAAAGATTTCCATATTCTGCAAAATCTATTGTTTGATATTGTCGTTTACTTATATAATAAGCTGGAATAGATAACATAAGTAATGTAAAAAATGTAATAGCCATATTAAGAGCAAAATAATAAGCAATTAACATTGTTGTACGATGTGCATCAGGATCTTTACTTTGTTCATAATGTTCATGAAATGGACTATATAAAATAAATCCTATTGCATAAAACCATGCACCTTGCATAACAGTAAAATATGCACGCATTAAAGTTGTTTGAACTTGTTTTTCTTTTTGAATTATTTCAAAAACTGCACATATAACTGTAGCAAATATAGTTAAAACAAGAAAAACATGTAGTAAAACTTCGACTTCTTCACGAGCATGACCATGAAAATAAAAGAGAAGGCCTTCAGCTGTAAATGCTAAACAACCAGCAACTCCATCAAAATTTTTTGGTAATGGAAAATTATAATGAGCTAATAATGAAATTAATCCAACTATAAAAAACATAAAATACATAGCAAAATGTTGAAGATTATTTGCTCCTTCATTAAATGATACAGAACCCGTTTTTGGATCAACAACACGATTAAATCCAGCAATTAATTCAATAAGGATACCTAATGTTGTACCAAATAAAACAAAAAATGATTCAATAGGTAACCTAGCAACTCGTGGTCCACAACAATGACATGGAAACGATACTGTTACATAGTATGGCCGTCGACGTTGACGACATATAAAATAACGTAACCATGCTGAATACATCCACCATAGACCGAGTATAAGAAATATTGTGCCAGGAACTACATGTCCCGGAAGACTTCCCATGTTTTTTCTAGAAGAAAAAATATAAAATGAATACGATTTTTTTTTGCTTTTTACATTGTTGCGAAAGACATAAACTTAAAAAAAAAAATACACTAATGAAATGTCGTTCTCTCATTACCGTTCAAGACCTACTCGTACAGTGTAAATATTACTCGTATAAGAACAGAACAAAAAAATTTCTAACTACAGCACACAACACACTGTTATATATAATAGCGACCAATGCAATAGCAATCTTGTTTTTTTTTTTTTTTTCTTATTCGCTCGTTTTTTTTGTCACGCCCGTTCGATATGTGCAACTAAAAGGTGATAGCATTAGGCAAAAAAAGAAAAAAAAACACTATATAATCATGAATAAATATTTACAAAAACAAAAAAAAAAAAAAAGACAATGAATTTTTCTTTCTGTATCTTAGAGTACGCTATTTTGATTTAATAATTCTTATACCCAATTTAATATTTCTTCTATTTCTTATTATTAAATGGTATCATACACGAACAAAATTAAATTTTAATAAACCATTATTATTTACTGTTAGTTGTTTAATTTTTATTGTTTCATTTGTTAATATAATACGATGTTTATATTCAATGATTTTTGCCGAACAAACATCATATACCATAGGAATTATTTTAAAAGTAATGAAATAAATAAATAAAATGATAATTTTTTCTTTTGAATATTACTTTTTTGTTTAGATTCTTTGGTTACTTGTTCGATTTACACTTTTATGTACAGAATTAAGTCTTCTAGTTTTTGGAATTTATTTCGGTAGAAAAATAGAATTTAATATAAATTTATTTATTTATTTATTTATTTATTCAGGTCGTTCAAATCCAAATCGACCTTGGATAAAAACAATAAAAATATTAATTATTTCATCGATTTGTTCTTTAATTTATACAATAACACAAGTACAAGACTTGAGATTTTTTTTTTTTTTGTAAATTTAAAACTATTTATTATAGGGTGTACTTGAATTTCGTGGTGATACACGTCCAAGTAGTTTTCAACTAACAAATTATAATCTTTATTCATATGGTGGAATGAAATTTCTTCTTATATCAAGTTCAATTTTTCTTCTTGTAAGTTGAAATTTATTATCTAAATATTGTTTTTTTTTTATTTTATTTCTTCGATTATTCATTATTAAATAGATGTACATTATTATTTTTTTTCTACCTATTCTATGTCGTCAACATCGTAAATTTTTACCAAGTATGATTGAATATTAATGACTTATATTATTATCATTAATGATCATCATTCTATTTTAGTTCGTCGATCATTTTATATTTATTGTTTTATAATGGCAATTATAAATGGTATTCAAATAATTGGAACAATATTAAATTTAACTGAAACTACGAAATTTGCCATGTGGTAAGTTTATTGTATATTGAAAATATAAGATTGTTTCGAGAAACACGTAAAATAATGTACAATTTTCAATATTTTTCATGTTTTAAAGACAATTTTTTTGAGTATTCATGTCTCGAATTGATCCATATCATTTGCAATGATATTTTGTCTATATGTTGGAAACATTATTCTAAGAGAGTTTGAACTTACTCATTTTTTCATCTAGCACAATGTATGTACGAAAAAATTGAAAAATGAAATTTTGCTCATATGTGCTGTCTGTTAAAAAAAGAACTGGCCGCGGGTATTTTTGCAATAACTCGATAACGGCAGCAGCTTTCACCAACTAAAAAGCATGAAAATGACTTTCCATCTAGATGAAATTTTGATTTAGATAGAGGAATCTGAGATCTATAGTTCAAGATACAATGCAAATGGAATCGTGTATTTACATGCGCAAATAATAGAAAATTTTGTTGATTTTTTTGACTAAGTTTTCGTACTTTTCTTATAATAGCGTAGAATTTCGATAAAAATGTAATGAAAAGTATAAAAAAAACAAGCGCATTATATCTTGAACTATAGATCTCAAGTCTCTCTATCTAAATCAAATGTTTTTCGAAGATGGTTACTTTTAAAAAGATTTCGTCTTATACATTATCGGAGAAAAACATGTCCCAACTTCTACTCTTTCAGTTGGTGAAAGTCGTAGGTTGCTAGCTGTTAAGTTATCGCAAAAATACTCATGGCCAGTTTTTTTTAACAGACAGTATACAGGGTGACCCAAAAATCATGTTACCGAGAAAAAGTTGAGTATCTCCATTATGACTTGACCAAACAGGCTCATTCTTTTACCAAGGATAGAGGCATGTTCACACTCAAAATCCATACGGATAAGATTAGTGAGAACCTTTGTTATGTGTATTATTTTCTTTTCCTATTTGTGAAAAAGTAAAATTTTCTTGTTGAGGTCAATAGTGATACTTGACAAAAGTTCTCACTAACCTTATCCATATAGATTTCGAGTGTGAACATGCCTCTATCCTTGGTAAAAAAATGAGTCGGGTTTGTCAAGCCGTAATGGAGATACTTAATTTTTTTTCTCGGTAACATGACTTTTGGGCCATCCTGCATATGAGCAAAATTTCAGATTGAAATTTCGTTGTCCAGTTTTTCTGTATATATCTTGTGCTAGGTGAAAAAAATGGTCATTACCTTCGAAGTAAGTCCAAATTCTCTTAGCCTAATGTCTTCCAACGTTTCAGCGTTGGAACCGGGCCGGTAAATACCGGAAATTTACCAGTTTAAGTTTAAAGAATATTATCTTTACTTAGCTCTTATTCGGTAAGAAGAACTATGTATTTTACTATGAAGTAGAACAAATTCTCCATCATTATACATATATGCCCAGAAAGTCTTTCGATAGTGCCAATATTAAAAATTTTGTTCAGTTTATAATCGATATTTATCGCGATGACTGTAATACTATGATAGACACGAAGACAATTAGGACATATGTTTTATCAGTTTTGAAATACACCAGATAGTACTATATAAATCAGTTCGAAAAATCTTAATATCCCTGTGAAAAAATGATGATGCTTCATGATTATAAAGATTATGCATATCTTTTCTAAAAGTTTCATAAAAAGTCAAATAATATTTTCCCAAGTACGAATATTGAAATTTTCTAAGATATGCTTATAAAAAAAACTATTCCTAGGTCGACTTCAGTTTTCTGTACTTACGATACGAGGAGTTAAATCATATTGGTTTCAACCGTATTATTTAAATATTAGATAATTCAATTTACAACTAGATATAACTTTATCAATTTCTACCGTACTTTCGGATGTTTGGAACCATTTTGAAGCAGTAAGCTTGACCAGTTTGCCGGAATTTCACCGGTTCCAACCCTGCAACGTATGGCCAAAATGGTATGGATCAGGTCGAGACCTTCTCTCGTCAGTCAATAGCAGAGATGTTCATCGCGGCAGATTTTCAACCGCGATGAACATCTCTGGTAGATAGATATTACTTGAAACCAAAAAAAATTTTGAAGGAGATAAAGAAAAGCTTTTTATTCTAAAGATTTTTAAATAAATATTATAGTATTGTTGATGGTACAACATGTATATTTTATATTTGTTTTGCACCATTTGTTTATCATCAATTTTTACGACGAGCTTTAAGGTAGATTTTATTTTTTTTTATTTTTAAACTATATCAATATATTTCTTTTTAAGTTCACAAACTCTCATTCCACAAGTAATGTATGCAGATTCAACTATCATTGATGATGATGATGATGATGATGATCATCTAATTGATTCTGAAATGAATTTAAATCGTCCTTTACTTAATTATTCACTAGATCATGATGAAAATATTTTAAATACAGGATTAATACGATCGGTGATATCCTAATATAATAAAAACATATATAATGATTATCCGTTTGTATCGTTTGTCTGTTTATTTTCATTTTATGTAAAGATCTGTTTTTTTTTCTTTTTTTTTTGTAAACAACAAATAATATATTAAGAGTTTTCTTTCTTTTTTTTGGTTTCCTTATTGCTGATCTATGATGACATTACAATGGTGGTGCACAGCAAAATTTACGCGATCGTAATAGCCATGTCGGAAAACCATTAGTACCAATCACATCTTGAAAAAACAAAAATGAACTAACTGTTAATTCATAGAAAATTAAGGATTTTTTCTTATTCTTACCACTATCATTTCCATCTGGAAAATTAATATAATCATATACTTCTCCATTGTGAATACCATGAGGTCTTGCAGCATGTTCTGATAACTAAAAAGTTCGAATAATAGATATTTTTTTTATTTTTGAAATATTCTATAAGATTAGTTATATTTTCACAAAACAAAAAAAAAATGAATATCTCTTATAAAATACATAAAACTAATGAAGCAAAAAACAAAAGTTACCCATTTGCCTCTGCTCATTAATGGTGGATATGCATGAGCAATTGTAAGACAAACAATAAGAAATAAAATAAACCGTACGAAGGAAGAGAACATGTTTGACTTGATAAAATAAAAATTGATCAGCTTTTCAGATGAAAAAAAAATGATTTAGAAGCTTGTGCAGATATGTCGATCTCTAGAATAAAAGAATAAAATCTATATATTTGTATATATATATATATATATATATATATATATATCTACAAAAAGAAAATGACGGCTTAACTTGATGGAATATAATAAGATCGAAATGAATCTCTAGACAATCGATTGTGAAAGAAAAAAAACAATGAAGAAAAATTCTCTCTTCTCTCGCTCTCTATATCTTACTTAACAAGAGCCGACGAAGATCGGACATCAAAGCCATAGGAGTTTCTTGACAAAATCGTAAGGAAAAGGTCTATCTATTTTTTTTTTCCTTTATTCTCATGGTTTATTCTATTCTCATTTGTCAAACAAATCACACACACCCTCTCTCACTCTCTCTCTCTTTGACTATTTTCTTATGTGACCATTTCTCTTTTGTCTTCTATCTCTTCACTGCAATCGTAAAATGTTTTTCAATAAAACTACATAAACTATATTGCCTTTGTTGTAACATTAGCCTATTTAGTCTCAATGGACGATCGAATCGGCTCCGACAAACAATAGTTTAACACGGAGCCGATAAATTACCATAGAATATAACAGGTCGAAATACAAAACAAAAATAAGATTGACTAAATATTTTCTTTTTTTTCTCTTCTCTCTTTTTGTTTCCGAACAACAGAGAATTAAATACAGCCCACCCATCTCTCTCTCATTGTTTTTGTTGGGTATCATACTTCTGGTTCAAATGAATTGATTTTTTCCGATGACATTCTGCATGATTCTCTTTTTTACAATTGATAAGCGGAACTTGTTAACAAACAATGAAAGAAATTGAAAGATGATTTAGTGATTTTAATTGACATAGAAATACAAAAACAAAAGAAAACGTTCGCGAGTTTAGATATTTTTCTCAATTTCATTGTTATAATCATAAGAAAAAGAAAGCAACGTTTTAAGATTTGATTTTTATATTGAAAGAAGAGAAAAAAAACACTAATTGAATAGAAGTCATATTGTTCTTTTGTTGATTCAACATCCAAATAAGAGAATGTTAATCAACTAAGTATGTCAAAATTATCATTTCTTTTTTTCTATTTTCAGAATAAAAAATTTTATTCAGTCTTTAGAGAGACGCTCATAGGAATATAATATAATAGATAGAAAAATTCATGTATAGACTATGTTATGTAATTGAGAAATTTTAACAATAATTACTTATTATTCTTATCACTATGTCTTTCTTGTCTTACAAAAAAAAAACAAAATTACGTATTCAATGTGTACGTTCATACACTTATTTTTACGCGTGAATTTGTTATTTCATTTCAATAGAATGTATCTCGATTTTATAAGTTAACTTATCATATTATAGAACATATGCTAAATAATTTTTTGATAATAAACAAAGTATTTTGTCTACTGAATTTTTGCAAAAAAAAAAATAACTTAGTTTTGTCAATGTGATCATTATTAGAATAATATGAAGAAAGTCGAGGATTGTCAAAAGAAAATCTTCGAGAATTATTTTTGGAAAGAAATAATTGAGGCGAGAAGGAAGGATACTATTTTTTGATGCTAAGGTTACTGTAACTTTTCAGATTTACTAGAAGATATTGAAGAAATATATTCATCATTATTTTTAATTGAACCTTGTTTCATTATTTGAGAGATAAAACACAAAAAACTCCTAATCCCTACTAAGAAATCAGACGATCCATTAAGATAGCTATATTAGAAAAGAACGCGAAATCCTTTAAAATCAATAATTTATTCACTTCATAGCATATGTTTGTTCTTATATCAGATGATGCGTATTTAAATGAGATAATATTTAGGCCATTCCAATCAGTATTTTATTCAGATTTTCTCTTCCGGGGGAGGAGGTGGTTTAAAACATTGGGAGGGCAGACACCTATTTTTCTTTTTGGAACATAGACACGCGTGATACAATAACCGCAAACTCCGGAAGAGTGTCACTTCCTTTATCCTTGAACTGAATAAAACACTAAATCCAGTACATTTGCAGAAAGTTATTCGATGGAGAATATTTGGTTCTACAAAATCTTGTTGTTTGTTTTTCGAATAAATTTTTTTTGTTGAAGCAATATTTAAAGTATGAAAACTTGTTCAATCGTTTAACTATGAATGAAGGCAAATATTTCTTTTATTATATCAAAAGATCCATAATTCGATGGTATACTACAACAGTTTTTATATAGATCAAAAAATTTTCTACCCAATGATTTTCTGAAATTGTATCTAAGAGCATTAAAAAAAAATAAATGAAGAAAATAATATTGTCTCGTTTAATCTGTGTCATCCGTTAGAAATATATCAAAACAATCAAATAAGAAATCTAAATTAATACACAATATTAAACTGAATTAATCTAGTTCTTCTTCGTATGTAAATGTTTATTAAAATAGACAAACGTTACACCAAATACGATGTTTTTTTCTCTAAAATTTTAATATTAAGCTAGAATGTGCAAAAAGTAGCTCATCACAATGCTTATTGAATAACGACAAAGTTTTGACACAAATCAACTGACTTTTATAACATTGGACTATTCACTTGAGGATAATGATTTATTCTCTCTTAATTGATTTAGATTGTTGAGAACAGAAAAGTCGATGTGATTACATACATTTGAGTATACTCTATTCAACTTTGTAATCAAATTTCTTCAATACTATTGCTAGATTTTATAAAAAAAAATATATTAAATAAATCAATCGATTCTTCTTTTTTTTTCTAAGCCAAAATCATAGCAGTGCCATAATATATTCTTCAGATTTAAATCATATCAACGTTAACTTTACTTGAAAGTCATATTAACAGATAAAATAATTCTTTTTTCAAAAATAATCTAATTACTATTTTCTTATGGAGATATGTAGTGCACAAGTTTAACTGAAAATTATTATAATCAATTAAAAAACGAAAAATTTTATAATTTTACTAAATTGAGTGATCTTCACTATTTTGATTTTTCAGTATGGAGTTTGATTGAGTAAAATCTGATTATAAAATACCTATTAAATTGTACAACTGTGAAATTTATGTTAAGAGTTTGACACGTGACTGCTTGTCATAGAGATTAGTAGTATAGACAAAGAACAACTTTTACACTAGGTCAATAAAAAGTAAACAACTATATATGAGTAAATGCGCATAACTCGAAGAGCAAGAATATAAAATTCGAATTCATTTTCGTCTATAAAATATTAAAAAAGTGAAGTTGGTACTTTCCTATTATCCCGACACCGCAGGATGAGGGTGGTCGGGATAACAGGAAAGTACTACCTTAACTATGAGTAGCTTAGAATTCGAGTATCTCAGTTTAGACACGCCATATTTTAAATTTGTTAGTTTGGTAGTGAGACCTGTAGTTTGACCCGAATATGCCCAATGTCCTTGAGTTAAAGCACAAATACACCTCCATTGTAAGGAAAAATGTTGATCCTTGACTATAGCATGGGGCCTAACAAATCGAAATCTATCTTAACTATTTTATTCAGTGGAGTTCATCCAGCTCGGCAATATCATTTTTCCAACAAAATCAGTAAGATTTGTGTGATTAATTGGAAAAAAAATAATATGTCAGAGGAAATAAAAGGATCATTATAATCAGTTTAAGACTTTAAAAAGTCTTTTTACTAGGCTTTATATATT